TCCAGGGATCACAGTGCACAGTTTAGGAAGCGCTGTTGTGCAAAGGTTAAAGGTCAGAAAAGACAATCTGAAAACTAGCAATTTTGAACTGACAGAAAATTGAGTTATGTTCTGTTCATTCTTTTGAATTGTGTTTTTCCTCATGCGCGTTGTAAACAGAAATTAGGGCTGTAAAATAAAATCAAAGTGCACAAAGTTGTGATTCCTGATGATGTACTTTGTAATGCCATCTAAAGCCAAGTCTGTCCATTTATCATCTAACTTCTTAATTAGGTTTAATATAATTAGTTGTATCTTTAAAAATCCTGCATTCCTGAGGGGTGTGCATTAGGGTTGCACAAAATGGCTATTTTTGTAAACCACACTGTTACATGAAGATATCCTTTCATTTGGAAGTATTTCTTGGCACTAGAGCTCAATGAGGAAGGACATTTAAAACATTTTGTATATTATTTAAAGTCACTTCTGCTAAGAAATGGAAGAACACCCACCTGAACTCATGCAATCAAACTTTGTTCTTAGATGCATCGATGTAACCTAAGACAGAATTTACCCATTCCTTATAAAGTTACTATAAACAGCATTTGTTGACACAATAAGGTCTGTGACTATACAAGTCTTGCTAAGTTACAACAAGTACTGTTAGTATGCTACATCTTTTAAGCATACTAACATTTGTTTGTTTAAAACAGTGTTGTTTGCTTAATAAAACATTCAAGACTCATATACAATAAAGTTGAAACCAACAGTTTTTATTTTTATTTTCAGGTCTGAAGTAGAGAGTACAAGCTTGTGTATGCTTTCTTATCAGTATTACATGGGTGAAAGCTGTCAGCTGTTCACATGCCATATTAATAAATATGCCCAAATCATAAAGCTTTAACTGTATTTGCACAGTGCTTTTATTACTAGACTGTTTTATTCATGTTGGCACAGATAATCCATGCAAGGTAGTTACTCACACCTCATAAACCACACTACATTCTGTATCTGAAATAACTAGGAACTTAGGAAAAAATATATATCTAAAAGCAAGGGCACTTGTGGTATCAAGTCAACATGTCAATATATTGTAAAACCTACACTTCTAATATGATCACTGCAGGCAAGAAATCACTCAGTTTCAAATTCTGATGTTTATAAATACTAAACAAATTAATATCCGCTACCGGGAGACAAATATTGCAAAGAAACATTAGCGTGCCCAGCATTAGACACTAATGAGTGTGTTCACTGCTGTGGACATTCACATTATTAAACATAAATACAAATAATATTTAACAAAACATTTCACCCAAAGTACTGACCACTGAAGGACCAAAGTAAAATATTTTTCCTTGTTTTGAACCGATTTTAGAAATGTGCAATGTGTAAGTCCAATATAGTAAAAACTAACTTCTCAAAAAAGAAGTCAGAAGAGTGTTTTTTTTCCCAGATAATAAAAGCAGTCTTCTTTGGAAACATATAATTTACTCTGTTCTGCAAGAACAGAAAAAGAGAAAAAGCATTAATATAATTTTTGAAGCTTTTAACTGAAAAGTTATTGAACACTTTTTAATTAGATAAAAGACTGGTCTCTTTATTTGATCATTCAGAGGTACAGTATCTTTGTTTTATTATGTAAAACCTCACGTTAATTAGAATGAAAAGAAATATTTAGAGGAACTTAGGACTTGTCCCAGGCATCTATGACAAGACATAAAACAAACAAGTACGCATTGTTCATCTTGCATATTTTTGTACAGCATTTATGTTCAGTGATAGTTGAAAGGCCCTATTCTGAATTTTCTCTCTCTTTCTCTCTCTCTGTGCATCTTCCCCCCCCTCCATATCACAAAGGTGACATGTGGCAGAAGAGTATCAGCAGTTATGTGGTATTCTACCCCTGTGAAAGTTAAAATGCTACATTATTATTCACAAATTTCTGGTTCAGATATGTGCAAATATTATATCTTAATATAGATATCAAGGGCGGGTAAGTGGATTCCCTATTTTTGGACCACATTATGAAGCAGCACAAGTCAAAACAGGAAATTTATTACATGATAATCCTCAGGGTATCTCTGTTCTTCATTCAGAGATACCACTGTACCTCATATAGTGATATGTAAACTAGCTTTAATCTCACTTGCTCAGACACCAGCTGGAGTCAGGGCATGTGTTACAGTGCAGGTTATCTGCCCAAGGAAATTTTCAGATCTCTCTCAAGTTAGTACGGCTCCCACTGAAAAGGAAATTGTCAGGACTCTCTCAAGCTAGTATGGCTCCCACTGAAGTCTGTGCTGCTGCATTTTCACTGTTGCTGCTCTATAAACTAGCTTAGCTACGTTTACATACATTGCATTCACCTTTCTGCAGTGCTGACTTCAAATTTACTAGATTGTATCCTGTATCTCCCTTGCTCACCCTTTCTATACATATTCGTACTTTCTTTCTAGACTGTATTGAGCTACTTGTACCCTAATTTCTTGCTTCAAGCCCTTTCCCTGACTGTAGTGAGTCATCCTGGCTATTCCCCGCTTCCCCCCCTCTGCCCCACCCCAGCTATCTAACATGTCGACTTAGTGAAATGGCCTTACCTAGCTATTCCCTCTCCTTCGGCCCCAGCTTCAGTAAGGGCTTCCCGTCCCCTCAATGCCTCGTCTTTTCGCACTCAACCAGAGGCCCCCAGAGCCCCTACATTCTGGCTGCCGCAGGTGCTCTCCCTTCTCCGATCCAAGCCTCCCTTCCACGGTCTCCCACAGCCCTGCCCACCCCAGCGACTCGCAGGCTGACCTGGGCCACTTCAGCTGGCAATCTGGGCTCCCCGTGAATGTGAAGAAGTGACAGCCCCAGCCATGCTGCCTACCACCATCTCCTCACAGACTGTACCCCTGCCTCAGCTGCAGCCCTCCACCTCTGGCCATCCCCTAAAATGCTTTATCCTTCACACTGCCAGTGAAGAGGGAGCTGTTGGGACATTGAGGGGGGAGGTGGAGAGTGAGACACACACATATAGACATAAGCAGATTAGAGGGGAAAGACCTCATGAAATTCTCCTGAGGCATCACAAGCCCTAGCATTTTGTGTCTTCCCAAGGAGTCTGACTCCCTGTTGTGATGTTGACAGTAAGAGACTAGTCCCAGTCAGTAGCTAACACAGAAATCTGCCTAAAGAATATCTTCAATGCAGTCGTAGTATATAGCATGAATTCTCTTAAATAACAGAGAATAATAAACTCCATTTTGTTCAATGACATTCAAAACTCAAAAGGAAATCTAGAATTGTCTCACTGTTATGAAAGTGTATCTAATGAAGTCAAATATGAGTGAAAAAGTATTTAACTTTCATGATTACAAATATGAGAATATTATGAGCCAGATCTTTGGATTTTGTAATCAATGGAACCACATTCACACCAGCCCAGCAGCGACTGAAAACAGAAATTTTTTTTGCTATAGAAGAAAAAGGCTTTGCATATAGTCTATGAGTGTTTTAGAATAATTCATGCACACAAAAATCTGACTCTGTAGCACTCAGATCAGATCACTGCTAAGATTGGTGAGAACTAGAATACCTACTGAATAAATATAGGTCATACATGTCAAAACTGCCACAGGCAGTTCAGGTTGTTACTTTTGTCCAAGATGTGGACTGCCTGCAGCTAACTTAACTCTCATATTAGAACTCCAAATCTCTTTTATTCCTCCCCCAAGCTTTGGATAGTTCTTCATCCCTGGAAAGACACACCAATTGTCTTAAAATGGGCATTACCCATAGGAGGGAAAAGGCAGACAATGCTATGTAATTTCTTGTTACTCAAAACACAAGGTAAAACAGGGTGCAGATGGCACCAGAACGTGGCCCACAGAATGCATCCGCAGCCTCAGAAATACCAATTCGAAACTGTCGGTACTGCAAGCTGTCAACACACACATCACAATTCTCACTTAAGCAAATTAAGAAAACTTGAATAGTGATCAGACTTTCCATTTCAACTCTATTTTCTATCAGACAGAACTGCTGTCTCCAATACAAAAGTCATGGATATTTAAAATTTAAAATTCAAAAGTATTATCAGTACTACAAGTATTGCTCTTTTGCCAAAAAAAAAGTTTTATAAATAACTGTTTGAACTTGAAAGTTGTTCTTAAAATGTTAGAAAAGATGACTGTATGGTTATCCTAATTGTCGGAGCCTATCTACTGTTTTACCATGGCAAATACTACTACAATTCAGGATGTGTTGCATTTAAACTAACAAAAATAAGAAAGAGTATGTGCCTGTGGTTTTATGCTGCCTTATGAATTTTTAATCAATGTTAATTTACTATAGGGAAAAAAAAAAATGGTGTTTTCCTATCTGTGTGGGATAGAGAGGGAACTCTTGCGAGCTATCTCCCACTTCCTAGATATGCTAGATGGATGTATGTCTTCTGTGTTCATTGATGTGAAGGTCCAGATGTAGATTCCTACCTCCCACTGATATCAATGGGAATTAGAAACCAAAGCAACTTTGAGTATTTTTTTCTATAAGAGGAAAGGAAAGGTTTCAAATTAAAAGCTGGCCTTTCCAGCCCACTCTATTCCATTCAATGTAAGAGCAATTTGGAGAAAGCCAGTTGTCCTTTTCCATCATGATTTGAAAGTGAACTAATCTACTGTGCATGTATAAGCCAGGTGCACTAGCAAGGTTGTCCCAACATGCTTTTCTCAATCTTACTGCGTTATGGAAGGCATTATTCTGTTTCTACTTTATTTTCAAACTAAGTTATGGATTGTCTCCTTGGCTTCTCAGCTACATATGGATTCACAGCAGACTTCTTATGTGGAAAGACTCTAAAAAATTTGATGCTGTGAGGTAGCACCACAGCATAATGGAATAGCACTCACTTTTCATCTTTTCATAGAGGAAGCCCTAATCTATTTATTTCCCTTTGAAAGCTATGGCCTTTCATTCTACAAATTATTGTACGTGTGGCACTTATTCTTGTTATGAAAGAAAATGACTTATTACAAAAGGACTTTTCCAGTTGTCCTTAAACACTACTGTGTGGTCTAAGCAGTAAAACTGCGGTGGGTAGTTAATTTGAAACTGTATTTACCTATTACTTTTTATATTACAGTTTTTAGTTAATTTCAATATTTCCCCCAACTGTTGCTCTAATAATGGACTAGTTCATTTGGTTTTGACTGTTCATTCAGTAGGTTTTTGTATGAACTTTGCAAAAGCATGTTCTGCATTTATGAAAGAGGTTAAAGTTAAACTTCAGAAGTATCAACTTCCTAGCTTTTACCAAGAGAAATCCTAGCCATGGTTATCAACTTTATAATCACCCAGTTAGTCATCTGTTTTTCCCCAGCATTACTGACTACCAACTCTTCTTTTAAATATTGATGGCATGGGCATGCTTCTTGCACAGTGGCTTATCCTTCTTGGAGTAGAATGGCTGACCTTCCAAATTCACATGGCATACCTAGAATTAATAATAAATACAATCAGGAATCATTTTAAAAAAAAAAAAAGAGAGAGAGAGAAAGACGTGATTATCAATTTCAACTGTATTTCTCTTCTGCCCACACATTTCTTTGGCAGAAGTGCATCTGATTTCCTGGATCAAAGTGCTTTCTCTACTCCATGTTGAGGTTAGGCTCTGGTTTGCATCAGCTCACCTCTCTCTACTTTCCTGTCACCACTGCCCACTAAGTACACTGGTTCCCATTCAAATGAAGTCTGGGTACACAATCCCCTAGGTAGCTTCGGCATGTCCCAGCAGTGCTTGTGTAGACCATCAAAGGATAGTGGCACACTCGAGCACATGCAGCTCGCTCAGACTTTAAGACCTAGATTTTGATCCTTTAACGTATGATTTTACAAAAGCTCTGGTTAGGTGCCATGGTCCCAGGAGTACCATCCTTCCGTGGTAGCACTAGATACTCATTCCTATTATTACTTTGTCTTGGTATGGGTGGTTATGTGATCAAGGAGTGAGTCATTCAGACAGGCGGTATCACTGAAAATGAATTACTTATTCTTACCAGGTTATTCTTCAACCCATAGAGTTCTCTGCCTGGCTGCATAAGTGCCAGTGTTGACATAACAAAGCATGTGAGAATGCATGGCTGAGGCAGGGCAGCTCAGGTTTAGATCGACTTAAACTGCCCTGGAATTGTACAGATATCTACACAGGGTAGTGCAACACCACTTGCAAGGTCAGAGTTGACTAGAACCACTAAAGAAAAGTCAACACATCAGAATCTAGGAATAAGAAGAAGTGTTGTCCCTAATGCTTACAGCAGGATTAAGGCCAGTGAGTGATAACATCAGTGATGTGCTACTGCAAGTGGAAGGAAAATCACGTGAAAGGATATGAGGATAGCATATAAAAAATTAAGGAGTCATGCATTTATTTGCATTTGACTTAACCCACTGAAAGAAATAAAATTAGCTCCTAACAAAAAACACTGTGAGAACTGCATTAACAAAACTATCACCTCCACAGAAAATTGGGTTGCTAATTTAAGTAAATACATAAGAATGCAGTTAAATGAACAAGCAAAAAAGAACACAACATATTCAGAGAAAGTGTCTTTTATAAGTGACTAATAGCTGTTAGTCTGTGAAGGAAACTCACTGTCTTAGTATTCCTTTCTATGTTAGAATTTTAAAAAGATTTAAATTTTCACAGGACACTTTTGTGTCGCTCACTCCCATGTACCCTTGAAAGACCAGTAGCTAGTTTAGCTTTAGATATTTATAAACATTTCTATACTTTCTACTCTTCAACCTAAATTTTAGAGTTCAACAAACATTAGAAATTGTCACTATCTTTTTGGTGTGGCCAACATACTATTTTTAGCTAATTAGAGGTTCTAGATATTAGTACCTTAGGAATAATATGTTGTAGAGCAGCACAGCTGTATTACAACCATATGAAGAGTACTGTTCATCATATGCATTTTACTACTTTGTGTGCAGAGTGTGGGAATACGGCCATACTATATAGCTGTACGCACACCACACATTGATGAGTTTGACCAACTTCTATGCTAATTACTATTCATTCTCTCTAAACAGGCTCCTTTTTGCAAGTTTCAACAAGCATTCTGCATGGAAATACAAACTGCGCTGCTTTGTAAGTAAGATTATGGCTATACTGTTCAGTATGGTGTTAATTTATTTTAAATCCTGCTTTATCTTTATTTGGTAAACATTGGAAAGAATAACAGCATTAGTGGTATGTGTTACTGTACGTTCTCTCTAGAACTGGTTGTTTTATTAGAAAGCACTCACTTGTGATGGTCAAATTTAATAATTCTAGTAAAAGTTTATGTAGGAGAAGAGAAATTACTCCCATCCCACTCTGTGTGCAAGTGAAAAATGAAATTCAATCCCTCTGCATCCTTAGGCATATGTTAGTCATTCCTGCTTTCACGTCTTCTGATGTTCCTTCACAATTTATGAGTATAAAGAAATGAGATAGTATTTGGTATAGAACCTACAGCGCAAATGAAACAGGTATCATGCCAAGTATGTCCAAGAGCTTCAATGAATTTATCTCCAGCTTCAACAGGAAAATCACAGCCATGGCATTTTGTGCTGAACAAAGCAATATAATCTAAAATAAAACAAAAAGCAAACTTAGAACAAACTTTCAATGTAGTTGTATTAAATCCAAGAGAAATAAAAAGTTTCCAGTGGATGAATTTTTGGATTGTTTTTGCTCAGTTTCCTACTGCATTCACTGGAACACTCATACTGAAATTTGCATCTTTTCTTTCATTATTTAAATACAAACTCAGTTCAAAACCCCACGTCAGCACTACAGTTCTCATCGCAAACATAGAAAACAAACAAAAAATTCGTGAAGTTTGAAGTTATGTTTCTCACGAGTTTTAAATTAGCTTTATTATATGTGGAAGCTATTCATAAGGACAAATGTGGTCAAAACACAATCTAATGGCCAGTGAGTGTTACCCTAAGGGTGGTATAGAAGCATAGTTTAAGTTTCCATGACTGGATTTATGTTCCCTCAGCCTTAGGAGAGAATATTATGGAAACCCCATACTGGCTGGTTAATACATCTTTACTTTGAATATCAAGTGCAGTTTGGAAAGACTTGACATGGAAAAAGATTAGCAAGAAATTCTAAAAGCACAGGGAATTCATGAGAGTCATTAGAGGTTATGGCAAAACCTCCAATTTTAAAGGGTAGGTGCCCAGTCAGTCATGCTGTATGGTTTTCATTCTTCACTAGGAGTTACTCTGATTTGTAAAATTTGATTTGCACAACCATAAGGAAAGAATCTCCAGAGGGAGGTAGGCCAGAAGCTCATTAAATGGACAAGGCAGGGCTTACAGAGGGAATACCACTTAAACCTTAACCTGCTTCCTGACCATATCAGGCAACTCATTTGCATGGCAAGCACCATTTATTACACTGTATTACCCTTTCCACAGTTTGGGAAAACATGGCCTTTTCCTTTCTCAGTTGGCAAGAAGCAGTTCATTTGTTGCAGCACTTGGAAAACAAAATCTGCACTACCATGTGTTGCACATCTGAGCAGAGCTATCTTTTCATATATGTTGGTTGATCAGTTTTAGGGTGAGGTAGCAGTATCAGAGGTCATAATTCAAGCAACTTAGTAGAGATAACGTGGGCAGCAACCCACACATACTGCATAAAAGCACTACCAGAACCCTAAAAGAAGAATTTCTCACCCCATAATGTGTAGATTTCTAGTGAGTAGAATCTACCAAGGAAGGAAGGGGGACAGGGAAAAAAGTGTAGGGGAAGAAATGGAAGGTCAGTGTGGTACCATGCAAGGGAGAGAAATGAGGTAGGGCACTCTGGGACATAGAGGCAAAAGACCAGCGCTCTGCCAGTCTATCACATAAAGTGGAGAAAAATAGAGAGAGGGAAACACTTGTATATGCGGAGAGTGGAAACAAAATCCCTGCTGGATGAGTAACTGCTTTTACTTTGTTCATCAGCTGCTTTATTCTTATGTTGCTTCCATACACATGAAGCGTATGATTCCTGAGCAGAACTGTCCAGTTTGCCATACCTTTCTCACAATAAGGTTCCCCATCCTCCATGTGAAAGAGGCTATTCCCAAACGGCATCTTACAAGCAGCACAGACAAAGCAACTTGTGTGCCAAGTCTGTCTTAGGGCATGCATCACTTCCTGAAAAACAAACAAACAAAAATCTCCAGCTGAATTGCATGCCTTGCAACTACCCACTGGAGAACAAACACAAAGCAGAGATGCTCTAAATGATTCCCTTCTGTATCAGCCAATTCCCCTCCTCAAAAGAAAGAAGTATGATGGAGATTGGGCTCCTTTGGAAAGAAAGAGGAAATAGGCCTGCAAACTTTCCAGAACAATGTATTTGCCAAAACAAAACAACATAATTCAGCCAGCTGTTTGTATCAACATGCCCAGTCACTGTTGCAGGAGAGATTCTGCACAAAGATTCTGATTATTTTCTCCTTTGTTTTGACATGACTAGTACAAACTCTTCCATGCAAGAGTATGATTTGTTAAATAAATTTTAAAGAGTAATTTTCTCTCTAAGACCAATGCATGCACGCAGGGGATAAAAGATGTAAGTCTGATATTTCAAAGCAACTTAGATTATGTACTAATTTCTTTAAACTTCTCACAGGAACGCTTCACAAACTAATGTGAAAATGTAGAAAAAAGGTTTTTAGATTTTAACTTATGTGATTAGTGAAAATGAGTGTGCATGTCTGTTCCTACGCCATGTGTTCATCACAAAAAACCAAACTCTGTGCAACTGACGTTCTCTTGAACTAAGTATCCAGATTCTATCAACTTCTTTCTTCTATCCAGTATGGAGCAATTTCTATTACTGCTTCATTCTTACCTTGTCATACAGAAGTCCTCTAAGTCCAAAAGCTGCTGTACTGATCTCTGATGCCTGGTTACCTGCTAATTTGTCAATCTTACTTGTGCACAAGACAATGTTCAACAGTGTAACTCTGTCAAACAGTCCAGATTTCAAAGGGACAGCTGCATAACTGGTGTAAATTAATTTAACCTTGTTAACTTCAGTGAAACAGCATTGATTTACAGCAGCTGAGCATCTAGAACCTATTTTATGTTGCTTCCAATTATATACATAGACTCTGATTCTCTTTTAAAGATTATTTTTAATCTCCATTGACTATGACAAAAAGGACTGAATCCCTCTTCCATGCTTTCAATCCAGTGAATAGACAAAATAGTCTAATTTATGTTTACCATATATCTCATTAGAGAATCACCATTTGAGATTCATTAACTGCTGTTACTGTTTGCAAAACAACTATGACTGATAAATATGTTTGGATCCATTTATGAAGCTCAATGAGCTAAGCAGCAAAAGAAGCAGATCAAGAAATCTTATTAATATAAACAGAGGCAGCTGGCATCTTTGCTGTTTTCCTGATGAAAATCCATAATGGGGAACTGATTTGCGCCAGCATTAATTAGGTAAGTTAAGTCAGTACTCTGCTGTAAAATTACTCCTACTGCCACAGTAGCAAACAAGACTTGGTTGGAGCCCAAGCTTCACCATAGATGTCTGATGCTGCCACCCCTAATCGGCAATTGCAGAGAAAAGCATCTAGTCTGTCAATGCCAACATTTAGACAGATGTCAAAAGGTGACAGCGAAGCAGTGAAAGACCAGTGTGGTACTCATTGATTCCTCATTTAAGAGAATCATGTCATATATTCACTATAACTGCATGCATAAATACACTGCTAAAATTACCTTATGGTATTCCAACCTCATCACCATCTAAGGTATATTTAGAGCAAATTTAATTGTACCTAAGCATGAGTACATTAAGACAAAAGTGGCATCTATTTTTGCCTTTCTGGAATTCAGATCTTTGTATTTATTAACTATAAGAAGTCAGCAGAATTCCTCTTGGCACCTGTGTCACTAGCTACCAGTGAGGTGCAGCAAGAGCAATGGGCTTCTTCCCAAGATCACCGATTTCTCCATTGAAATCTAGACTAAGTCCTGTGTAAGGAAAAAACCCCCAGTTCAAGTCTCTTACTATAAATATAAGGAAAAGATAGATAGAAGTAGCACAGTGTATATCAGACAGCAAAGAACTATCCAGAAAGCGTTACTTATTTTACAGTCAGTGAGATGGTAATTGGATTACATATTCTGTCTATGAGTTCGGTAAGGTACAGAAATAGCCAAGATTTTGGATAGATAAAAATTATTATAAAATAATATGTTTCTTATTCTGAAATATTTAACAGGCTGGGAAATTGTTATTAAAAAGGGGGAAATAATTAAATATCTACATTCATTGCTTACAGTCTAAACTATTTCACTATTTTGGTGAACCATGTGGTTGGAGAAAGCGTTAAGCTTGTTCTCTTACCCCCATGATCTTAGTGTGGCATCTGGCACAGGTTGGTGCAAAGAACTGTTCATAACAGCGCTCACAGTACACACTATTCTTCTCTTCCACAAAGCACGTATCAGCCAAGGATGTCTTGCAGTAAGCACAATTGAATTCTTCTGGGTGCCAAGAGCGACCCATGGCTACCAGGAAAGGACCCCTGTAAACAGTCGTAATTATCTTATTTGTATCGTTAAAAGATTGAACGAACCTGACTACAAATCCACGTTGTTAGACACCACATACATGTATAACAAGCATTCTACTTGAACCATGAAGGTGCATATTAAAATAAGATCCAGAAGCCTGAACAGAAATGGTCTTTTTCAAGATCATTACTCAAGCACTTTGCCAATTGCTTAAAATATTTCATTATTGTTTAGCCACATACATTGGATTTACAGACAACTGTTGGAAAAAATCAATTGTTTTCATATCTGCGTAGCTATAAGTGGTCTTTGTAAACAGCTGCAAAGACAACAGGAAGCGGCCAAGGGTTGTAACACAGACGATAATGCTACTATTTGAAAGCATGAAAAAGCAGGCACATTTCCAAACCTACACACCCACACCTCACAATAGCTCCTAAAGTCTTGTGCCTTCTTTTCATCCAAGAGAGCACTGCATGCGACACATTCTAGAAATGTCAGACTATCAGATGACAACTTGCAGTTCGATTGTATGGAAGACACATTCAATTCGTTTTGGTGATTTACTTTTGATTGTAATTGGATATAGTGATTATTCCCGGAGTCTTTCCATTTCAGAATATATAAAGGGCAATAATCAGCAGCTCCACATCACCAAACTAGCCCCTTTTAGTGGGGGAGACTGTCATTAAACATGGATTACTTAAAGTTGGTTAGCAGTCCACAGGGTAATGATGGGCACCGGTCCAGCAGAATGAATTGGGAGAGGAGAAGGGAGAGGCATGCTATGAATCACTGGTAATAGAGTGTAGGCATTATCTTTCTCCAGACACAAAAGCAACAATTACATTTGGCTGCTGTTCCAAAATGATGGATGTCTCATTCCTTTTCTCTCCATAATTCACGCCCCCCCCCCCCAGCCCCCCAATTCTCCCAATGAAGTTGTACGTACCTCCTTCAAGGGGTACCTTAGGATCAGAAACTTGTTTAAAAAACAAACAGTGATTTGCCACAGCATCCAAGAAACAAACAATTAGCATGTATAACTTCGCAGTGATAAAAAGTGAACCACACAATAGCAAAATGAGCTCTGGAAATGTTAAATTAATGAAGCAGACAACAGACATCCCTGCTGGGTAATTTAACTGAGTCTTAAGCTCTGGTACTGTATATTAATGTACAATAACCAGTCTCTCTGATATTTTTTTTTCTGCTTCATCCCTCTTCCAAACCTCATGACCTTACCGAATTATGCTGTTACAGTGCCCACAGAGAGGAGTTCGGCTGCTGGCTGGAAAACGCTCAGCCCTCTGCACTGTTCCCCGGGCTATTGCAGGAGCCTGGGAAGAAGTTGAAACTGGAGATGGGTAAGCAGAAGTTGAGACAGGAGGTGGTACTGGAGCACCCCTTGGTAGGATGTGCTTTGTGACAGTGGTGGTGGTTTTTCCGGGTGCAAATTTCTGGGAAAAGGAGTCATCTGTTACCCAGGGAGGACGACTTGCAGGCTCAGTGTTCGCAGGGGTGTAGGAATGAACTGGTGCTGGTGCTGTTTTGAGTATCCCAAAAGAAACCAAGAAGTATTTTAAAGTCTTTTCTTCTGATGGCAAACCAGCAACACTTACCAAAGGGTACTCCACGACACACAAAGAATAAAAGCTTTAGATGACACTTAATTATGGTCTGTCCCATTATTGCTCATTAATTCTGGACTGAAGCCAAGCATATCAGCACAATCACTGACTTTTAATCCACATGCATTACAGAAGTCATTGCCTGCTGGCTTTTACAGATTTTATGGAGACCATTTTCCAGGGCATCCCTTCATTTTCTAGTAGGAATGGATATGACAATTCTGTGATAATTTCAAAGACTGCCATATTATCTGTTTAAGACAGGTTAAAAATAGAAAGGCCAGATCATGTAATAAAGTTTTAGATGGAGTTCCCTGTAATTTCAATAAGAAGTTATGCTTAAGTTTTGATCTCATTATATTCATTAAAATGCAGCGTTTTCTCCAGATGTCCCTGTTATCTATCATTTGCAGATTTTACCCCTAGGTTTCTGAAGAAAAACAGGCTCACACAGAGAACACAGAGATAGGGAGCACTGGAAGCATACTGACGGAGCCAATTCAGCTCACATGACCAGCAAGACAAAGCCAACAGCACTTAGAGGAAGGCCAGACTTGCGGTTATGACTGATCTCAGTTCAGTTCTTGGCTCTGCCACAGACTTCCTGTATAACTTCGAGCAAAGCGCAGTATCTCCGTGCCTCAGTCCCACGTATAAAATAGAAATATTATACTTCCTTTCTTCCACCCTTTGACTATCACATAAAATCTTCAGTGCAGACTGCCTCTATGTTTGTATGCACCAGGCTGTAATCACTGGTGGAGCTTTATCACATAAAAATAAGCAGAAGCTAGAGCCTGCACATACCAACAAGTTTTCCCACTGCCCTGCTCTTTTCAAAACGTCAGATCTTGCATTGTGTAGGACTGAAGTCACTGCCCAAGAAACTGCCTCACTTTGCCAAGTACAGGAGCGCTAAAAGCCGTTTTTCCTTTGCAAGGAAAACAAAGTGAATGATTGTTGGTTTGTGTGAGGAGGAACAGAAGCTTGGAGAGTTGAAGTGTTTTACCTAAATGAGACAGCACATATTTGGGAACAGGAGTCTGTTCTCCTGTAGTCTACGCAAACACTCTGCATAGTAGATCCCAGTGCCAATAAAATGATGACCAAACAACATTTACAGTTTTAAGGGGCTTGCAAGTAGAAAGATATTTCAACCAAGAAGAGGGTTCCAAAAGTAACATGGATCTTTCTGGATAATTAAGTGGTGAGAAGATTATGTTCTACTTAACACGCCTCCCTTAGCCCACACCCTGCCCCACAGAATAACATACGCTGATTATTGGCAATTGCAGGTGCTTAAATTGCATATATATCAATCCACTGTGATCACCCTAGTGATCTCTGATTTTATCCTTTTTATTGAGTTCAGAGTTGAATCTAATGCGTCTTCTTGATAAAACTGTCTTATGCTACATAAAACTGTATAAAGAAAATTTTCATAAAACCGTATCCCACCTTAGCTTGAGGCTTTTTTTTTTTTTTTTTTTTTAACTTGGGAATGGTAAACAGTGTTTAAAGATTTCAGAAGAGAGAGTTGATATGCAATTTCTTTAAATCCTGAGGCTGTTGCTATTTATGTATTACGGTATTAAGCTAGGCAAAATTAGAAGGCAGTATTTTATCTCTAATTGGTGAGTTCAAAAGGCTCCTACCTATGAGGCTCTTTAATTAAATACAGTGACTTCTAGCTCACTCAGTTTTGAGAAAGGCTTCTCCCTCCCTCAAGAGCCAATTCTTGTTCATACAAAGTACGGCAGTGTATCCCACAGACAGCCTAACAAAATGGTCAGATATTCAAACTCAGAGTTCCAGAAATGAAGAACAAATGCAGTCCAGGTACCATTTTTAGGATGTCTTTTTCTATGATTGTCTTCAGTAAATTCAGTTTACAACCTCTTAGTTTTTCACTTTTTTGTCCTTAATCTCACAATGTCAGAATTTTATTTTTCCAGTTTGTTTATTCCAACCAATGTAGACAGCATCTGATTTACCTGGGTTCAGATTAAGCTAGACTCCTTTGAAGGATAAACACTGGGGAAAGGTCTTTTTCTTTAATTCTCTCTACCTTCTAGTTCTTTTTACTCTATCTTTTCTACTTGCTGTGGTAAAATAAAGCAGCAAAATAAATTTTTTTCCAGTTGCTGAAAGAAGATACCAGGGGAATTATTGCAAAATGACAAATGTTGGGGGTTCACAACTGCTCTGAGTTCTCTTTTCAGCCATTGTCATTTAATTTTACAGGCTGGATTTCTTACAACATATTTCCCCCCTGTGAACAGCCTGGAACGACTATTGAATTAAAATAGTGTCATTGCAATGTATTAGAAAGGTTTCACTAACTTTAAGGTTTTAGCTATTGTTATTAAGAGGGTATTATTATCTCATAGCTATATCCCTAAGCCTATATGAAAACTCTTCTGTCTTAGTAACTACTCCCATACAAATTCACCTTGCATGTTTATGTATTTCAAAGTCCTCTAACATACATGTGGCAGATAAAAGGTGTTATTTGCTGGTAAAAAAGTACTAAGATTCAGTATATCAGAGAACAGATTCTCAAAATATCAGTATTGTATGAGCTGACCCTTTACTGTTCAAAAATGAATACTTTAAAGTAGTTCAGTAACCCAGCCTCTATCACCTTGTTTCTCTCAGCCCTCAGACTCACTTAGAGTAGGAGAGAAAGAATGGGACTACTGTTATCCTGAGAGAATGGCAGGAGAAGAGGTCTCTCTTAACAGCCTTGGGAACAAGCCAATTCCTTGCTTCTAGGGAATTTGGAATTCTCCTCATCAGCTCTTCATTTATGATCAATGGGTGTTTTCCCTCCAGCAAAACAGGCACGTTACCAAAGATTCATTTAGTAAAGATTCATACAGTCTCAAATGCTTTAGTCTTACATACTAGCTCGCACTGTGAAGACAATTTTCCTTTTTTTTCCCTTTGTTAGTAGAACACATAATTGTTATTCTTAGTAATAATTTTCCAGTAACAAATGTAATTTATAAGCACAACTGATTTGGCTTGTTCTGCACTTTGTGGCCACATCCTTGAAGCCCAACATTTTCCTAGGTACTGTTCCAGTATATAGTAGGTGACAGATAAAGCAGATAATGCAACAAGTCCTTTATAAAAAAGACACTGTTCTTATGCAGAAGAATTTAAAATGAAAGACAGTGTGTAACCTGCTGTTTTAGTATTGAAAGTGCTTAGGATCCAGTGAAGAGTTCATAGAGCTTTGTGGGAATCTACTAATTTCGAAAAGAGCAGATCAGACCTTTACACTTGAGCACTTTTACATACACGAGTAGTCCTGTTTAGCCTTACAGATTTAAAAGGACAGATCTGCTTTCTTACTTCTGGGTATCATGTTACTTTGTAGTATAAAACTGGTGTTTGAGTTGCGTGGAATATATGAAAGCACTATTCTAGCTTGGGAAAGCCTACCAGAAAGGAATACCAAGTATTTTCTGCCATCTAGTGGACCTTGTTCGAAAAAGAAGTCTATGCTCCTTTTCAAAATGGGTTATGAAATTTACAGGACAGAGAAGGGAAAAGATTTTGGAGTTCACAGCTTTCCCTATAGGAAGAAAACAAAGTTTTTTAGCAGAAGAAAATTCCCACCAGAGTTAGGTTAGTCAAAGTAGTAGTCTTTCTTTGCTTTAAAATGTAGACTTCCTGATTACTCCCATCTGAGCCAGTTACTTAACAATGCAGTTTCATTTTGAGATTGGTTTCAGTGTAAACAAGATTTAGCCCATTATTTTTTTCAATCTGAGACAGATTAAAATAGTCTTGTTAACCTTCTTAGTGGCTGAGTCAGGTTTCTGGATATTGCATAGATGAGGCTGTTGGTGGGTGTTTTAATCTGGAAGTTGCTGGCCCACACTTTTAAGGGAAGCAAGTCATCTCATTCCCATTAACACTGATGGCCGTCATAAAGACATTCCTCATCTAAATTCTACATTGCAAATCCTTATAATAATCTCTACTGTTTTGGCCATTTCACACAGTGGATTCACAAAAATAGAAGTCTAAGAAATTATTTGCAAAAGTGAGAATGCAGTTATTGCAAAAGCCTGAGGTTGCACTTAGATTGGAAGAAAAAGATGTATTGTGTGATCTCATATGCCATAATTTGAGAGCAGCTGGTCCTCTCAGATAAAGGTTGCATTTTATACTGCAGGACAGAATTTATATGCATTGACAAAGTTGGGTGAGGAAGTTTTCTAACTGTCTTGGTGGTTTACTTCAAAGTACTATTGATCTTCCCTATCTGTCAAAGGAAATGCTGTTTCCTCCATTTCTTCCCAAGTGGCAATTTCCTGTTTGCTCAGGACTGCAACTGCAACTGTGTCTAGGGCCAGCTCATGTTCCAAAACCAGTATGAAGTGCTACTACATCAAATATATAAAACTTTACAAAGGTACCAAATCAAAAAAACCCAAACATCTTCAATAAAATCTCTGTCTGTAATCTCTTTTGTTCCTGAGTCACTCTGGGGCTCAATTATGAAGGTATTGTAGAATCCTTTATTGGATATTTCCAACTCTTAAACAATACAGAGACACTTACTGCCTCTTTCTCTGCTAACTTTAATGCTATTTGAATTTTGTCTTTGTAATATATCACATTAGATATTATTCTGAATTTTCTCCTGTCCTCTAGAGTACATCATATCTTTGCAGTGCCTGCAAAATAAGAATTTTCCATGCGCAGGCAGATGATATATGCAGTTGAAGTAAGGTTGTTAATAGTGACAGAGAACAGAGTTTCCATACTGTGTATTTTAAGCCTTTATTGGGAGGCAGTGGGGCTCAAACCCAGCAATATAAGGAATTGCAAAGAGGGTGCCCTTCACAGGAGAAAACGAAAGCATTGCCTCTTACTCCAAATCCAGTTCAACAACCAGGTTTTTCTTTAACAGGTACAGCTACTAATTGGATAAAGCTACTGATTGATTTGTGTGGCAGGTTTGTATATTGAGAACTGGAGTTCATACTTCCACTAAATGAGCACGGGGCTCAGTATCAGGGTATTTAGGAGATACTTTGACTTGCAACAGTTTGCTCTGTATTGCATTATGAAAGTAAGTCCTCTGTCTTCATCTTTCCTTCTTTGCAGGACAAAAATAGTAACATTTGCCTTCAGTGAGAACATGGCATATGCTGACACGCTTAACCAAAAACAAATGAGGAGAAGTTGAAACCTTTATTTACTTTGAGACCCTTAAATAGCTCATGATAGCCCTGAACTGGCTTTTCGCACCTTTATATCTCAAATACAAAGATCAATCAATTGATCTGTCTGTCTGCTTTCTGTCTAAGTAAAATTTCTGCATTGGTTTCATTTCAGTAGATCCAGAGATAGAGCATTACAGAAGACAGAGTTTAAGACAGTTAGAATTCTTGGCCTTTTTGTATTTACTTGACTGTCAAGATATAAATCAACATTTTAATTCTCTTGCTAAGATCAGAGCAAGCTTAATTTGAAACAGGACTTCATTTAGACTTATATTGCTACCTCATTTAATTTGTTCATTTTGAAGGTTCACATTTTGGTCATCAATGGTTTTAGAAATTTACTCCATTTGTAACACATTAATACAAAGGGAATTTAAATAACATCAAGGAGCATATTTTCCCCATGAATGAATAATCAAATATATTCCTTCAGTAACTGGATCTGTGGGAAATGGAAGCATAGCATTATGAAGTACTTTAATAAGTAATTCTTTATTTCAAATATAAGCCTGAGTTTGAGAAGTTCAATATATGGTCTTACCTATTTGCAAATACATCCTACTCAAGCTACCTTCACTTATTTTACCTCCTTCCCGAGTTGTCCATTCTTAAGCTATTTTATCAATTCTGAAATGTCACTGGGATCCTAATTGGGTGCACTGGGTTATTTTCCAAATATATTTCTTTTGAAAAATCAGGCTACACATTTTTTTATTACAGACTTTTCCCTTGCTTTTATTCTTCTTCCTCCATTTGTTCCACATTTTCACTCCAAAGCAGAATACAAATACAATACAATCCTTGATCTTCAAATAATCTGAAGCAAAACTAGCAACTAGCAGCATTTGGTTTCATGTATATAAATCGTTCCTAATATCTGTGTTTCCTATTGCAAAATGTGCATTCTTTATATTTTCTTTTTTCTGAAAGAAATGCCTGTGCATTTCTTTTCTGAATCATTTCAGTACTTTGTTATGAATCCTTTCAGTTTTTTGAATTCACCTTACCTGGCTGGTAGACAGAGGGCTTTATGCTGGCAGTAGTAACAACTCTCAGTTTTGAAGTGGCAGAAGCAGCAGGACTTTCACCGTAACCTCCAGAAACTGGCATTGGTGTGTATGTCTGGCTTGTGTTTCTAAAAGCAAAATGAAGGTATGAGCAACTTCATAAACAGCAAAAGTTACTGAGTATGAAATAACAGATCTTGCAGCTTCCAAAGCACTCCAAGAAGAACTGTCCTTGAGAGCTACAGAGAGAATACTGTGAGATTCATTAGTCTTTATCATTGCTAAGAAAGGCTTGGACAATTCTTTGGAAAGAAAAATTAGCCAAGTAAGGATTTTAAATAATGCTGAGTTGCTCTTGTTGTCACCAAAAATGGCTTACTGAAAGAATATGACAAATTTATTAACGGAACCCTTAGTTTAACAAGGGATCAGACTTCAGGAACATGCATACAAAGTTGGGTTTTCTGTCCCTCTACAAACAGGCCTGTTCTTGTATAACATAAATCACTGAGGGATATCTCATTGACTTAAAAAGATACTGGTTCAGCACAATTACTACCACTACTGCTACAAATACTACCTACTGTTTATAAGCATTGTACTCTTTTCAAAAAGATTGTAGTGACTTTTAAAAAACATTTCTGAAACTAACTCTTTTCCCTGCTTAGACTGAAACCACAATTTACGTTAATTTTTCTTATGTTCAGATTCAGCTAATGCAAAAGCACATGATATGCACTATTATGATGTAATTTCTGCCTTCCTAGATTAAAAATATTTGCTCAGGATTCCAAACATCAATAAGAAACAGTTTTTCTCTATTTTATGATTCGGATGGTGGTTCTCAGTTTGATTATAGTAACACATTGAAATATATGCCTTTTTCTATTTGCCTGTTACTTAGGATCATTCTATTTGTAGTGACTTTGCTTCATAGACCACTAAAAGAGCATTACAAACAAAGCAAGCAAGAATAAAGAAGTACAAGGAAGGGAAACAACAGATAACAGAATGCGTACAGTAATAAAAACCATTCTCTATTGAACATCATTCTTAAGTCACCCTGAAAACATAGTTTTACTTTCTTTTTCCCTTCAGTTTCACTATGTGTATGAACCAGATCCCTATCCATTTGTGCTGACAGTTTAGGACTTATTTCCATAGTGGCTTTGTCTATATGAAAACATTTGTCAGCATCAGAAAAGAAGTGTCCAGCTTTGCTAGACCATTGGTCCATCTTGACTTGCACTTTCTTTAACGGTGGAAATAGGTGCCATCTGGAGAGAACATGTTATAATTTTTACATACGGCAAACCCAGCAAATTCCTTCCAGTACCGGTACAAAAAACATTCTGACAAATGTAAACTTTTGATTTTTAATTTTGAACAAAAATCCCGCTATCCTCACAACTACTGGTACTCTGACAGTGCTTATACTATAGATCTAGATTGCACAGCATTGCTGCCTCAGGCTAATTTATTTTGTCTGTTTAGTTAGACCTAGAAACATAGCTACTGCTGCAATGACTATAGCTAGTTATTTCTGTACCTAGACTATAGCTTAGGGCTGGATTTGGGTCCACTACACCACGAGCGAACAGGGCTCTCCCAGATAAACTATTTTAGGGGGTTTGTATTCACTATAAATTCCGTTGTCAACTGTGCTGTGATTTTGTAACTGCCAAAGCTGTTCTAAGCATAATAAGACTTTTTACTTTCCATTCTTACCATCTGATTCCTGTTGATACCTCCTCATACCTGATACCCGCATAAGAACGCACTGTACTTGGGGTCACTGGACAGAGAATCATTGCCCCTGCCGTAGCACAGACAGGAAGAGGTACGCTTCAGGTACCCCGGCTGCACATACATCTGTCTAAGTGCCTTTAGCTAAACACACACTATCAAAAGACTTTTCCTTGTTTTAAAATCTACTATTCAAGGTAAACTAGATAGAAAACCAGTAAAACATACTTACCTTTACAGGATCAGAGATCAATATTTACTGTGTGGATTAAAAGATTTTAAATCATGTGTCATACAGCCTGAATCTGAAAATGGCATACACTCAGCAAAGTCTACTCCCAGATGTGCAGGTCCATTGATAGAAAGACTACTTTGAAGCTCTCTTAATGCACAAAATATATAAAGAAGTTCTGAGCCAGATTAGTGATACTTAGACTGTCATGAAGAAAAATGGCTATTCAAAATTCAAGTGTTTCCGAAAGTTAACAGCATGGTAAAACCATGACACTAGATGTCCTTGTATGTTTAGGGAAATGAAGTTGAAAAAACCAAACCCAACACACACACAAAATATATTCATAGTACCAAAATCATGGCAAAATTAAAAGAAGTCAACTACTGAACTCTTTTATAAATGTATGATGCATATTAAATACAGTAAGGAAGATAAAAAGGCTTGTCAAAGAGAAGTAAAGTGTTGCAAGACATCATTAAGGGTTTTAGTGAAGTTAAAAGATTTATCAGAATTTCTGCTGAAGAAAAGGAAATAGCATGTGATTAAAAGAAAGAAAAAAAAAGAAAAAAGAAAGAAAGAAAGAAAGAAAGAAAGAAAGAAAGAATAAAAAGATGTCCTAAGGATCAAAGATGCTTTAATGGAACAGGAAGCAATGGCATCTCAAAAAGCAGTGAAAGCACCCTTACTGAATTTATCCGTAGCAGCCAATGGCATGTGACAGGCAGCAAATTAAATACTGGCTCTGAAAACTAGTAGTTGTCAGAAAAAGAAAGAGTAAATATTTCTAAGCAGATATTTTTTTGTTAACACTTCACTAGATGCCTACTAGCAGCAATAAACTGGTTTGTTAAGTGCTTTTAAGGTAGAGTAGCTGCACAAAACTTTTATACCTCTTCTTTGACTGGTAGCTGATGGAGGTGGAAGAATGCCGGTTGAAACTAAAATGAGACAAAAGTTGTATTTGAAAAAAATATAGCAAGAAAATAGGGATATCTTGTCCTACAGTGAATTTCCTTATGAATAAGAGGTGCTTTTAAGTGCTAAAGTAAACAACATGTACATATTTATAATCATATAAGTTCAGTATCACATTTTGCTTATCTTATTTAAAGTAGGAATCATAGTGAAACCTGAATAATGGTAACATAAATAAATGAGCTGAGCGTATGGCTCCATAAGTGACTCCCATCAAGTTTTGCTCATTCTTTAGCTGTGGAATTCTAAATCAGCCACTGGACTGTTTGCTTTGACATTCACCATTTGTTTGTATTAGCACAGAAAAATAAGTATGTATTTCTTTCTGTCAGTGTCATAATCTTAAATTGCATCAGATCTTAAAAGCAAACCTTGAATGAACCAAAGTCCAAAGATCAGCTAAGTTTCCTGGCTTATGAGGCAACTAGGACAGCCCCACAGAATGGACAGGCTGGAAGTAGCTGAAACAACAACATCAAGCCATCACGTTCAATTTTTCCCTTGCAGTACCATTCTACCATTCATTTACTAAACAGAGTCTTAGGCAAACAAGTAGATTTTTTTTTTTCCTTGGCGAAACAACATAATTTCAGAACATAAATGATTCATTTATGTAAATGTATATGTAAATACAGAAAGTACTTAAAAGCCTGCACAATGTATGATCTGAGAAACAAGAGGATTCAAAATGAACACAGCTCCCGCCTAGACGCAGAGCAGTGCAGGGCTACATGGCATCAATCACATCCCACAGGATCACAGCCCACATTTGTCAGAATTACCAGAAGCCTATCATATGCCAGATATTTTCCTAGCTTCTGGAGAAGAGTTTTTCTTCCCTGTACTACAGACACAGTGCTTGGATTAAAATTCTAGGATCACAGAAGCCAGACCTTCCTTTTAGAACCATAATCATAACTCTTTCCATCATTTCTCCTGTTTTTGTATTCCCAGACTGCTGTCTCACTGGTGGCCCTGCTTTTACCCTCCAGATGGAATAACCAATTGCATAAAGAGCTTTGTAGCTTATTTAAAACACTCCTGTTACCCTTTCTTCTTTGTAAGTAAGATCGTAAGTGAAAAAGCAAGGTAACATTGCAGATTTAGAAGTAAGAGTAACATGATCAGTTAAGGACTGATGACTTATGTCAAACATTCCTCTTTAGGAACATTATAAATATTTTACTTGTGTTACGTGTTATGCATGTGGCCTTGCTCACAAAAGCAAAGTCACGATAGAACTGGATCCACTGAAATTTAAAATCAGATTTAAATAGTTAAGGACATTGATCAAGAAATCCTTCTGCATTTTCTTGGTAGACCTTTTTAAGGTATCTGGAAGGAAAAAAAACCTCAACAAACACTGGAACAATGGTGGTAAATTTTGAGCCTCATTCTACCTGAGAATGTTTTACAGGATAGGGATACTGTTGTAACTAAGGTCATCTGTATTTTATTTCGAACTAAAATTATACGGAAATACTGCAATGCTCCAATGGTATATGTCAAGCTGAAACTGGATTTTTAAGTCAGTATTTTGGCATGCTAATGCATTGCTTGATTTGAATGAAAACTATCAGATGCTCAAAAATTTGTATTCTAAATTAATTTAGAAACCAGTTTTAGTCCCTTATATTTGAATACACTAGCTATAATACGTGACAGTTTTTCAAACAAACATGGAAGTAGCGCACAAAGATAAAGAACCTCTTTCAGCTGCAACATAGCCCTCCAAAGCCAACAAACAGAGTTTGCTGCTTGTACCCGATTATCAGGGAACCAATTTTTTACAGGTCCTACAAGTTTCTGATTTGCCTTTATGTCCCAAGACTTGCTGAATTACTGAACTTCCAAAGAGGTATTAGCTAAGACAATAACATTTGCCTGCTGATAACAGCTTGAAGCACGTGTCAGCATGATACCTGTGTCATCCATCGGCAAGTAAGATTTTAGGGCAGCAGCGTATAAAGCTGATATGCTGTAGATCTTGTATCCTTGGCTTAAATATTTGCCAGGTACGAGAAATCAGTTTTAGTAGTCTGATTAAAGCATTGCTTTCTGAAATGGACAGTTGTTTTTCATAGATTTATAGAATCTTTCAGATCGGAGGAGATCTCAGGACATCTCTCATCTAACCTCATGCTCAAAGCAAGGCCAGCTCTAAGGTCAGACCAGGTTGCTTAGTGTTTTATCCAGCGGTATCTTGAAAACCTTCAAAAATGGGGATGCACAGCCTCCCCAGACAACCTGCTTCCTTTCAAAGGAGCATGAAAGGGTAAAATGGACCATGCCAATCTAATGCAGGACATGAAAGACATTTGAATTGGAAGTAAATTTTAATATCTTAAGGTGAAATGGATAAAGGCTCAATCAAGAAATAGTATTATAATGGCTCTAAGATAGCCATGCAAGTAGTGTCAGCAAATAATGGCTATCGTTATACTAATTTATTAGCTATTTATATGTAAATTATACATAATTGTTGACTAACTATCATTTCCAAGACAGCAATGAAAACATAGCTCTTTTATGGAAGGGCAGATTAATCCCAAAAGATAACAGAAGGTATCTGCATCTAATTCTTATACCAAAAACTATGCCAGCAGTTGTCAATCTGTCCCAAGTAACTGTTATACTCTTCCTGACTGACATAGCTACCATACTTCAATGCAAAGAGTGCCTATTCTGGGATTCAGAAGGTTTATCTATAGTTCTGCGATTAATGGAAATGAATTATGAGCTTCTTAAAAGAAAAGCCTTCAGTTAAAAAAAAGTATGCATGCATTAACTATTTTGTGAAAACATGCCTTCTGCCTACTTGGGCAGCCTTATTGATGATGATAAAATGTCTGTCTCTGAAAGATTTCTAGAGGTATACCACTCTGATTTAAAAGCTCACGATGCTATGAGTCACATATTCATAAGGGTTTCTGAAGTTTTTTGATGACTCTGAGTATGGTCTTATAACTCAATAGTCCAATTTTAGAAGGGCCTCCCTGGCTAGCAGCATTCTTTTAGTGTTCAGATCTATGTCTGTCTTCACCTAGTCAGACAGCTTCACAGAATAATAAAAATAAAATCCAAAGGAAATTTTATTTCTGAAATAAAGCCATTTCTTAAAACTGGAAAATTTGTAGTTTTGACATTTTGAAAGTGTGATGTGTTCTTTAGCCCTCCCTTAACATCCTCCTATTCAAGATATTCAAAAATTGTCAAGGAGTAGAATTTTTTCACTGAAGTGTAAAAATGCCTTTCTACTCTCGGATGGGCAATAAAATAAATCTGATTAAGATTTTACCAATGGAGTCCTAAAAGTGATATATGCAATGCATATGTGATTTTATCTTTCTGCATTCCTCCAAAATTGTTCATTAAATCAAAGTCTTTCCCCTCAAGGAAAACAATCAGATAATGAAAAACTAAGGCCTTTTGTGACATCAATGCTAATCTCAATAAAATATGCATATATTGCAGAAATAAAAAGTATTACATGCAGTATTACTACTACATGCAGGCTTCAGAGACCTATAATTAGCTATTATGTACAATTCTCACCAAGGTTAGTAGAATACCAAGGAAATCTCTTATGCAGGTATGTAAAAACATACTTCTCATTGCAAGATTTATATGGGTCCTAAGATATAGACTGATGAAACATGAATAGATGTCCTCTGTCTGGCCAGAGTAGTCACCAAGGCTTCAATTTAATTTCATGTTCTCACTGATGGATACATTTCAGTCCTCAACTGAGAGAAACACTAAACCTGAGTCTTTTCTGTAGCTCGGAAGAAATAAATAGGCTTTGCATGCCAGCATTTAATCAAGCTCACATATGCAGTTATTGTTGCTTAGGAAGCAAGGGACTTTCCTTGGTTATAAGAGGCTTTTAACTGTCTCCTACAACAACTATGTAGGACCCTCTTGTCACAGAGATATGTGATCATTCTGACTGACTAAAAGGGATTTGTTAGTAAAATAAACAGTAGATGAAGTAGTACTGGTGACATTGAAGAGCCTAATCATACCACAGGATTGAATGAAAAAGCAGTGTAAGAATTACTTCTGAAATGCACCGAGTACTCTCCCAAGTAACAAGTGACAGGACAAGAGGAAACAGCCTGAAGTTGTGCCAGGGGAGGTTTAGACTGGATATTAGGAAGAATTTCTAGACTGAAAGGGTTGTCAAGCACTGGCACAGGCTGCCCAGGGAAGTGGTGGAGTCACCATCCCTGGCAGTATTTAAAACACATGTAGATGTCGTGCTTAGGGACATGGTTTAGTGGAGCGCTTGGCAGTGCTAGGTTAATGGTTGGACTTGATGATCTTAAAGCTCTTTTCCAACCTAAACAATGCTATGATTCTCAGAATGTGAAAATTAAGCCCTCTTAAGGTATTTTATGATGGACACCCAGAAATACTGAATTCTCTAAATCACTCATGATTTTGGAATTTTGAAAGTTTATACATAACACTAGATGTCGATGGCAGTAAACACCCTTGCATCAGTTCTTACCTTCTATTCTTGGTAACATTCTGGTGACATTCATCAACTTCATAGTTTAATTGAAATTAAAGTTATGATTAGCATAATTCCACTCAAATAAATAGAATTACATCAGCAATTAATTTGATTTCTTACGTTTTATCAGCTCCATACAGGAATTACATCCCCTATGTAATTCTCATGGCTGTAAACAGCCATGTTCACATCCTAAAACTCAGAACTCTTCTGATCTTCTGTTCTGTAGCTATTTCATTTTTGATTAGTTTCAGTGATGTGAAGCCAACCAAAATGCTTTCAAGTGTGTACCTATGCATAGCACTTAACTGCTGTTTTCTACGATGCACTTGAGAAAGGTCATTATACTTCTTGATGCGTAGCCTTCAAACTTGCTCGCTTTGTTCATTTCAAACGTCATATTTGAGTGATTCCTAACTACCTTTTTATATCAAGGTAAGAGAAACATGGATAATTATAATCTCAAATACATTGCAGATTCAGTTTTTCATCATTTCAGAAGATTGGGTTCAAATAGTGAATCTTAAAATCGACTGCTTTCTCCTTTGTTAGTCTTGACAACGTGTTAATGAAAGCAATGTGAAGGCTTAGCAGTGAGGCAGTACAGCAGAACTCTCTCTCTCTAGTGATAGAGACCATCCTATCAGTGGTCTTTCATTAGTCATGATTAAAAGCATAATAAAAGAAGGTCTGTGATTCCTGTGATCCTGTGTTTTCACCAAGAAAAAGAAAAAAAAGTCAGTCATTCTCACAGTGTCACTAGATAAATATTTTCACTTCAAGATGGCAAAACCAGCACAAACCAACCAACTGAAATACCTTTGTTCCAAAGGGATCTTTTGGTCACATATACTAAAACTAAAACTTAGGTGCTTCCTAGCTCGGTTTTAATGTGAAAGATCAGCAAGAAGGGTATTCCTTTAAACACATCATGCTTTTCCATAGTCTCTGCCAAGCCAATCTCTTAAGAAGCTGAAAACCTTAAATTGGAGAGAGTAATACAGAATAAAAATATATTAAGTTAAAAGAAAAAGAAGAGAGCTTTACAGATATACCTAGACTGAGATGAGATAGCAGATGAAATAGTGGAAGCTGCTAATGACATGTTCTTGGACCCGTGGAAAGGCTTAGGCTGTGAAAGAGAGCTGGGGGCTGCAAGCACTCTGCAGAAGACACAGTAAAAGCATGAAAGCATGTACCAAATAATTTAACAGGGACAAAAATAGTGACATCAGATTCAAGCTTTGTCAGAATTCAGATACAGGAGGGCTGCCGCATAGTTACCAGGAACAGGTTTTCTGTAGCATACATCTGCAGACTTACAGAATAGCACAACCAAGCACATTCCTACAGGACACAAGACAAAATACACACATTATGTATAAATCTTAAAACCAGAGTCTATTGATAAGAAAGACAGTATTTCAGGACAGGACTTTTGTCAACGGTACATATGTTTTTATCTGCAAGATCTGAAGATGTTTGAGTCTGAGTTCAAGCTAAACTTTTTAGTATGCAAGCAGGACCAGAGAAAAGATTCTGCTATTTAAAACACAAGTCATTGGCATGATTAGTTCAGTAGAGGCATTTATTTTTGAGGCATATATTAGATAATCCATTTTCTTCATGTTACAGTTTCAACTGAGGGATAAAAATTACTTAAACTGTATCATTATTTCATGTGAAAGTGCCTTACAGCACAGTTCTGAATTACAGAATAATACCTTATTCAAACCTCCTTTGCTGGCTGGCTGATTGATTTTCTTGCACTGGAATAAAAAGACTGTAGTCTTGTAGGTCACAGTTAGGTAAAAACTGACTAAAGTGAGAAACTAAGTAGTTGGTATACATAAATAATTTAAGTCAACTAGCTAAAATTAAACAAGCAGAGCCAAGAGAACATGTCCAATTCCAATTACACAAATCTAAGATACTACAGACTACATCTTGGGTCTCAATTATCTTAAGTAGTTTACATTACTGGAAGTGTGTTTTTCCTTGGATTTTTAAAGCATGCTAAATTATACATCTTTTAGGAATATTCATGCAGCAAAAAACAAAGATAAAAGAATAATATGCACCAAAAGAATTCACTCTTACTATTTCCAAAATTACTATAATGTGGCAGCACTATAAATCCCACGTGTTTCTTCACAGACTGTTTGACAGCTTTTAATATACAACTGTAACTCCTATGTACTACAGGTGTTATGAATGCATACCTCCCCGAAACTCACTTTAGCTCTATGGCTAAACCTCATTAGAGAAAAGAGAGTAGATAAATCTAATAGAAATTAATTGACTTAATACCTTACAGAGCAAGTCAATCATCAAATGTGTGGTTTTATTGACACATTGTTCATCGTCCACCACGTTTTACTGACATCTGCTATAATATGGTAAGCTCAATCACATGAGTAAGTGACAGTTTCTAATTTTCCATTTCATGTCATACTGCAGAAACACTATTAGGAGAAGCTTCATTCAACCACTCTACCTATTATGAGGAGTTTTTTTGGTTTTATTACAAGTGGTTAAAAAACATTTCTAGTTTTAACCCTAAACTTGCTTTCTGAAAAAGTAAGCTGTACTGCAGACTTACAGCTACATTTTTTAGGGCAGTTTTATTCTGCAAATTCTTTGCAAACATCAACAACGTACTTCAAAATAAGAAAACACACCAAAATATATAAAAGCATATAAAATAGGTTACAGCTTTTACATACTACATTCTTAAGTTAAGAATGTGTATGCAGCATTTCGAGAGCCGTACAGGGTTGTACTTGTGAAAGGACAAAGCAATGAAGCATTACCTTTGGAAGGAAGATGAGAAAGACTCTTGCACTACTGAGGTGGTTGCTGGAGGGGTCATCAGACTGGCTGTATTTTGAGCAGCAGCAGCAGCAGGCTGATGTGCTGAAGCATGTGGTGCAGGAGCAGAGGCAGAACTGGTAGACACCGGAGCATGCTCAACAGGGGTACTAATTAGAGTTAAATTAAATGAAACAAGAAGCATCTTTAGAAGGCGCATATTTAAACGTAGAGCATAAAACCTACTATGTTTGAATGTGAAGCTGCAAACATAGTAGCAGGCCGTGTTACTGCGGGAAAAGCACAATGACGCAAAGAAAAAAAGACATTTGTTAGGCCTTTTTGGATGTGCAGTTAAGGCTGTAATGTGGTTTTGGTCCTGCTTGACTGCAATTTGTCCCAGGTGTTATACAGCACTTAAGTCCTGCTCCCACTGAAGCCAGTGGTAGGGAACGTGGTGTGCAGTAGTTCAACGGTTGCAAAGAGCCTGTCACAAACTCTTTGAGCTCTGATAAATTTCACCCAATATTTACTCCTGGTGCCGAAGTTTATGTGAGGAATAAACATTCAATTAGATGAAGAAAAGCAGTTTAAAGGATATTATCATAGTCCTGTATCAGCAGGTTTCCTGTAAGTTCTGATAGTCTAGAAATCCAGTCAGCGCAGTTTTGTGTGAGGTTTAATCACTTTGTGCAATACAGGTAGCAGAAAGATGTTTAAAAGGAGTCTATTAATTTCTGACCTACATTCACCTTAGATTACACTGGCCAACCCATTAAACAATAGGACACCTTTTTACATGTAGATCAGTATGCAAAATACAAGGGGAAGATATAGCGTAAAATTTTACTACACCAGTTTTCAAACCACTTGGGTGATGAGCATGAGTTGTTATCCTTGTTGCCGGTTCTCTGGGTTCTTGTAAGTGACTCCTATCAGGGTGATGGAATTTGGCGATTCTCTTGTGCAATGTACAAAGAATGCCCCAAATATTCTTTGCCGAGCACAGTAAGTATCAAATAACAAAAGAAAGCTTACAGTTCCACAGCTGTCTTTCAGCCAAACCTTAGCCCTCAAACATGCTTTCTCTCAGCTTTTTTTTTCCTATGTGAATTTGCCATTGTGCAAATATTTACTTTGTCTTTCAGCCACTCTATCTAATATTTTCTTTTGCTTCTCTCTGAAGCACTGATTCAACAAGTTAGACTCCTCAGGCCTAGAATGAGTCCTTGGTACTTCAGAATTCGTGATACCCCTTGCTCTTCAATGGACTGTGTCATTTCCCCTGTCCTCCTCCTCTTGTCTGTCTTCTTGCATGGTTTAGTAGTCTAAATGATCGTGTCTTATTTCAGCTGAATATATTACTGTTTGATTAGCTGAAATGGAAGCGTGGTTGTTATGCTCAACAATTTCAAACTCGAATGTAACCCACGACAAAAGCAGAAAATCAGTATTTTCTCCCTTATGAGTTTCATCTGCAATAATATACATAACAAGCAAGTTCCTGAAAGCACTCATCCTGGTTTTCAAATCATTACACCAAAAGTTTTGCAAAAGTTTGTCCATCATAATATGCATTTAAAATTCAGATCAGTTCTTCCATCTCAATGGCTTTGCATCGTGATGTAAATTCTTCCACTTAGCTAATACAGTATCAATGACATAGACTATATAGCAGAGTAGCTGCATATTGTACAATCACAGCCATGGGTCACAGGCTAGTCTGTTACTGAGTTTTAACATTCGCAGGATTTTTTTCGCCCTGTGCTACAGTGGGTACTGGTATTGTCACATTAAAAGGTTTGAGTAAAAATTTAGTACTTACATATCTTTGATTTGGCAAACAGGAAAGGACTGAAACCATACTGCACATAAAAATGGAACTTAATGTATGTCCTAAAAACAAATACAAACTAGGATTTCACCTATTTTGTCCTTCTATTTTCACTGATGTGAAAGGGAATTTGCCACAGATTTCAAAAGAATCAAGACTCATACCTTGAATAGAAGAAAACAGTGAAGTTACTCGATTGTTCTAACGATCTCCAAAATGTTAACCAAAACACACACTCGGTGATACATATTTAAAAGAAAGAAACAAAAAATATGTGTGGACATGGACCTGTGTGGAGACAGATTTGAACTGGACAAACACATATAAATAAAATGACTGCAAATATACTGGAATACCTTATAAAATTTTAAAGAAATACAAACAAATTTTATCTTGTGGGCTGTTGGTAATAGTTCTTTTTATGTGATTAAAATGTTAGAGGCTTGATCACATTGCTGCAGGGTAGAATATATGAATTAACAGAACAAGGAATTGGAATAAATATAAATGAAGTAGATATAACCCTAAAAATCAGGGTGATCTGGTTATAGAAACTATATACAGTTGGTAACTAATTCTCTACTCAGTTTTATAGAAAGAACTGAGACTAACTTGACTGTTTTTAGTTTAACCACTATACATTTTAAATAATTTTATTTAGATATCCAAATAAAATAACTTTTATTTTTCCTCATGATTGCCTCCTTCCTAGATTTTCAATTTTTTTTTTTTTAGTTCTTCAGGCGCAGAAGAATTTTAAGAACTGATAAATGTGAATGCTGCTTTATAAAATACATCATCTATTATAACAGCTTCATTATTACGTATGTTAGAGAGGGTTTTGTTTTAATATAGTCACTCTGTACACTTTTAATCTTTACAATATTTTGTATTTTAAGGAAATTCAAATGAAATGGATGTTTCTCAAACATCTCCATATTTGTGGTAACAAATAAACATAAAATGCACAATGTGAGTAAGTTACATGGACGAAAACATACACACATATCTCAGCTGATTTTCACTCATGAAAAGGAACACAGATCAGTAGAGGTTAAGGGGTAATAATGGTTAACAACCATAATGAGAACACAAAGCAACGAATGCACTCTAACATTTAAAAACGTAAGTGTAGATTACGCTTCTTTTCCTCAGTGAAGTCCTAAGTTCTGAGACTTTCTGTCCAAATAACAATCAAGTGGATTATTAAAGCAATACTTAGTCTCCTTTATGTAATGCATAAAGTTCTTTTTGTTTCAAATCCTCCAACAGATCTCTCAAAGAATTGAAAATATAGGGAACAAAAATAAAAATGAATAAGCAAAAATTGTCTCTTATTGTAGCATTTGTAGAAAAAAAGTGCTGGAGAAGGTGTTTAGAGAAACACATAGCATGGAAGAGTTTTGCATTTGCATATGGGAATGTTTGTAGAAATACAGTGAGTAATACCAGCTGCTGTTTCTCTGCAGAAGGCGCTTAATGACTGTTGTCTCTATATTGTAGGTGCACTCCTCCTTAAGAGTGCCACTTAAAATGTAAAATTCACATGGGCTGGAAGTTGCTGTAATTTGTAGAACTTGGACATCTGCCTTTTAGGCAATGGGCATTTCCATCTGAAGGAGTTAGAGGTTGTTATTACCAAACCATTCCAAAGCTCCAAACCAGGTCAGTTATGCAGTTATATATCACAGTGTACCTTTGATTACTGGATGAAGTAAGAGGGACTTTCTGGCCAGCAGTGGTGAAACTGGCCTCCCTCTGACTTGTACCCGCTCCAAGCCTCACAGACCCCTTGGAGGCCACTGGTTTAGCATTGTCAGTGTTAGCATCCATGGTGCATGATTTAGGAGGATGCCAAATACTCGAGGTCACATACTGTGGCGCATGCGTAGTAGCTGTAGGCCTGGGTAACAAAGATTACAAGGGGATTTATAAATGAGGTATTTGTTATCACATCACCAATTTCCTAGGTAAGAGTAGGTATTTGAGGGAGATGCAGAATTCCAGTCACAGAGGCAGCTGCTGGTTTAACAGAAAAACATTTGTTCAGTTTTTTAGTTTTCAGAGATACATGTGCTTACTGCCTAGCACACCAAATAAAGCAGAAAGTAGCATTTTAGAATGCTAATACCTGGCCCTTTAAGACAGTAGTTATTATTTATATGAAGTAAAGCCTTCAGGAAAAAAAAAACAACACACAAACACAAAACCAAAAGTGCTGAACTTCAGAACTGAAAAGTCAAGTTAAGTCTAGGTTTAATAATGAAGGCTTTATTTTTCTGTCTTTTTTTCTTCCTGGAAGAAGATTTCTATCAGTAAATATCCAGTGTCCTCTTTTTGCATTCCCAGATTCCTTATACCATAGGAGATCAACAGGATATTGCCGATGAAGTCATGACAAATCTGGATAGCTTATTAGTTTATTACCACTTAAGACCAGGAAAGGCTTTAAGAATTAAAAAAGGTACCTTCTGTTAAATCTGGAAACCATACTGCTAGGAATATCAAAATAAGACACATAACAGAGCTGTAATGATAATGGAGGTGGAGAAAAGCTACGGTATGACAAACCATGCAAGATTAACGCAATGTAGTATGACACTAACACCAGTCATACATCAGAAATTGTTCCTGGCAAAATAAAACATAATAATAATTAAAAAAAAGAAAAAAAAGATATTTCAGTTGAGTAGCTGCATAGTCCTGTAGATGATTTTACACAAATGAAACTAGTAGTGAAATGCCAACGTGTTACTTGGCTTTTCATATTCATTTATATACAGTTATTATACAGGAATCATTTAATAATAAAAATCAAATTTTCCTATTGTTCCAAGTGCCAGTTGCCATTGCTTGCATCATCAGTAATGACAACACTTGCACTTGGATTTTAACTCTATGCAACCTTTGTTCAAATGTGAGCAGTCTTATAAAAACTAAAAAGAAAAAGTAGTTGCACATCATTTAGGCAGGAATCAACAAGACAGAGGAAAGCAGTGAGACAGAATATTTTCATGACAAACTAATAAGAGGCATTTCTTTGCTCCATTAAACAATTGGTCAGATTCACTCAAGAAGTATCCATGTTTCAGTACTTACGTGTTTTCGTATATGAGCTAATAGAAAACAATATATTTCTATATGTAGCTGCAAAATGCGCTGAGATTCTTTGGGAGAAAACAACTTTTGAAATGAAAGAACTTACTTACAGAGATACCGTGCTTTGAACCTCGTAACCCATCGAGAATCAATCAAGATATGCAAGAATCTGATATATAAATGTTCTTAAAATACCAAAAAGATAATCTTATTTAGATTTTAAAACCATCTTGAACAATCCAGACAAAGTTTAAAATGGAAATTGTTCTTAGAACTCCATCACAAACTGACAATACTCCATTTCAAGAACATTTGATAAAAGTTTCTTATTTTTCAGGTTTATAAGTTCTGAGAAACAGGATCCCCACCTGTCTCATCTCACAGAGCTTTTTGAAGTCTACATTAGAAAGAAATGCCTAACATCCACTTAGTTGAAACTTCTACATTCATCATCTGCTCAAACAGTGTACAAATTTCATGGTTTTGAGGTAAAAACAATATGGGGAAAGTGGAGGTAAACTGAACAGGAGAGAAGCCAAACACACAGAGCAAACATTACCTGTTTTCTGATGCTGCAGCAACATTTTCCTTGTCTCTGTGAAAGGAGGGGATACAGTATGAATAATGTAAATGCAATTGCCAGTGGTGGCAAAAAAATAAACACCAAACCAACAGGGAGAAAGAAGATGGATTGAGGAGAAATGTTTGGTTGCAAAAAGCATCCTAGAGTGGTTGCTCATAAATAGAGTTGTAAGAAACCTCTTCAGTTCTCCTAGTGAAACCCACCAAATATGCAAGTTTACTGTATGCTTCTTCTCAGTTGCAAACAACTTTGCTTCAATATTAAAATGAAGGAAAATTAACAGTTACAAATTAGTCATTGTATGTATATATGTATATAATTGCAGGCATAGTTTTGACTTTAATAAATTCCCTCTTCAAAAAAAATTTCAAGAATATTCTAGCGGAACATATTCTGATGCCAACTCCAAGCGGTAGAAATAATCAGACCTGTGCAGTCCTTAAGGATCCAATATTTTGAAGTGATAAGCAGTTAAATGGTTAACAAAGTCTCATATAAAATAGATTATATATGTCTGGCATCAATTAAAAATTCTCTGTCCTAGCCAAGTAAGTACTATTTTTCTCACTCTAGGTCAGATTATAAACAAATGATATCCTTCCTTCATTGAGGTCAGAAGTCAGCCAGCCTCAATTTCAGTGACAGAAAATTAGGCTGTTGTTCTGTAAACACACACACGCGCTTACAAAAACAACTGATCACTTTAAGTGCAAGCAATTGTGTATCTGTAAGATGTTAAGACATAGGTATTTTCATAAAGAGTAGAATCCTTTAGCCTTAGACTCCTAAGTTTGAAATCCAATTAAGTTAAGTAACTGAGATAGTCTCAGTATTTAGCAATATAGTGTGTCCTTTCCTATTTAAGAAATTGTGCTGGATTTTCAACACATTTAAAGTTGAAATATGCCAAATGATAACATTTTGCTTAACTAGGATCTAAAGTTACAAGACACAAAGCAAAAGCCTTCATTTACTCAACTAAACCTTCTTTCTGAAAAGTCCTTTGAAAAAGAAGGAATACATTTATTTATTTATTTATGTGTATTTGTTGGGCTCCAATCATTATCTTACATTATGTTTGGAAGGCTATGCTTAATATTTTCAACATTATTAGTAGTATTTAATATATTTCTCTTTGTGTTTACATGTGTACAAGTACGTATGTACATACAGTCAGATACCCTTTCCTTAGTTTAGCTCCAATAAAGTTATAAAAACCAGTCCAGTTTACATCAGCAAATAGGTGTTCTCTACCCATTTTTAAAACCTCTAATTAAAATGTAACCCCTAAAAATATATGAATTGAAGCCAGATTTTCAAACCCAGAAGTAGATCTGAAGTGACCCTCAGATGTGGCTGGCTGACCAAGAACATTATTATGGTCAGAATGGAAGAACCTGTCTTGAAAGTAAATACCCCAATAAGATCAATTGGTTCACCACTCTAAAGCAATGAGAAACCAAACACTATCTTTATGGTGAGTGAGTTCACTGGAACGTCAGGTATAGGAAAGCCAGGATGAAACAAGGTAGAAGAGCATAGATGAGAAACTGTGCATGTGTGAGAAGTGTTAGTATACCAAGAGCCATAATCATGCGAGAATGTTAAAAAACAATCACAGCCTGAAAAGAATAAAGCATTGTTTATTTCCAGTGTTACCAAATACTCTGTTAGAAACTACAGTCAAGACCAAAAGCCAGGCAGTTGGGGCCCAGGAGAAGCAGCGTTAGGCCTCTGTTGTTACTATTAATCTGATCCAAACTTTTCTACTCCACCAGCTATGGCTATACCAAAGAATGCAGAAAAATGTCACTTGACTTTGAGGACAGAATTTCACGAAAGCTTTTTCCATGAGTGCACAAGTATAGGATAACAGTGAGTGACGATGGCGGGGGAGTTGTGAAAGTTGAAAAGAAAGCAAGAAGTATAGTAAACATACTTCCACAGAATAAAGCAAAGGGAAAGGCAAAGAGTAAAGGGAAAGATGAGCTCAAAGGTACATAATACTTCTTCCTGGTTTTACTTCCAGGAACTATTTCTCTTCCCGGTCAACAGGAGTAATTCCCATTTGGCCAACAGTGAGAAAGGCTCAATTACTCATATTGGTAATACTTGCATTTTGAGGAACAGACTATTGGTTTTCCAGCCTTTACAATCAAACATTTTTTGCTAACTAAATGCAGAATTAATTTTACTTTTGAGTCAAATACATCCCTGGGGCAGGCTCAGTGAGTCGATACCTTTACAACATGACAGAATTTGGCTCAGAATATTATAAGCAGTTTGTACCTCTGTGGCTACACAGGCTGCTCAAATAACTGACAGTAGCGGATAATAGTTTTGAGCTATCTGGGAGAGATTTAATACTAATGTTTTTTTGGTCTGCAGCCCTTTTAGTCCCCAGCTGAAATGGCTTTTGACAGAAGGGCCTTAGTCAATGACTGTTCCGAAAGAACAGTGCAATTCCCAGAGATTTTATTTAATATTGGACATATCTCTGAAACAAGATTTATTTATGCAATATGCTGTCTTCCCAATTACACATTATATTATACAATGGAAATTATGAAATGTTTACTTCTTATAAAAATATGCTACACGATATGGTCATAAAGACAGAGTGAATGAAATGATAGAAGTAGAGTCTTTCCCTCCCACACGCTAGCAAGAATTATAATAGTTTGAGTAACGAAATGTATAATTCATTTGCAAGCAAATCTTGTGTATGTTATTGGATCCTAAAAAGAGCCTGAAGAAACTTCAGAGAGTTTCCAATAAATGAGTCTGTTTAATCTGAACTGTATGTACTGGACATAGGAATACTTTCCCGTTCTATTTTTTTTTTGGAAACCAAGTGTACAAGATTCCCAAACAAACACGTACATGTAACAGGTGACCTGAGATGTGGAGGTTGTGCATCTTCCATCTACCTCCTCCTTAGAGGATAACAGATCTAGGCTCTCTCTCTTGAATACCTCCTCTCTGTTCCATTAAAACGTTGTAGAGACAGAATGATTTAATCTGTACTGAAGATCTGATGACATGAGGAACATTAGGCATCCCAAGAGACCACAGGGTCCTTCAACTCTTCTCTGTCTTTCAGTACTAAAGCAATAAGTGAATACTATAATTGATTTTTTTCTTTGTATTCTCATGGAGCAAGACTATTTTTCTCATTTGAAAAATGAGAAAGTAAAACATAATAGAATTGCTTATGGTCAAAAAGGAGGTCCATGGCAGGGCAAAGAACTGAAATAAGCTCTCTTGAATCCCAACTGAGTATTTAAAATATCAGCTCACCCTCTTTAATAAGAGATTATGGCTTTTCTAAAAATAAATGTTACTATTCAGTTTGTCAGTATTTTCCTGTATTGATCATCCAATAGTCTTCTATAGAACCTGACAGATATATACTGGCCTTTTTTCAAAGACAAAATAGTTATTAAGACTTACAGATTATTAGGGTCTATATCTATTGAAATTAAAAATTCTGTTTTTCTAGTACTACATTGTGGATTTGGAGGACTTGTTCCTTATTAGACTTACAATAGCTTTCATCCTAACATGTACTAGTATTTACATAAATATATTTGCCTACAAATAAAACTTCCTGTTAAGAAGTAGAAGTCACGAAGCAATTATTTAAAAAAATTCTTATAGGGTGTCTGGAAGTAAAGTTGTGTGAAAGGTATTTTATAATTGCCTTCCAAACATTTTTGTCTCAAAGGCATGAGATTCTGACACACTGTTGGAAACTGGACACTGAGCTAGATTAACTGCTGTTCTGATCCAGTGAGGCTATTTCCACCTTTCTGTGTTTGCAGTTGAGAATTTTTCCATGGTCAGAAATAAACTATTGAGATTGATTGTCTTTTTTTTTTCCCCTCAAGCTATATTTTTATTATCTTAACAAAGACACCGTAAGACACACAAAGAAATCATAGGCAGTTAACTGGAGAGGACAGAAGACAACTATCATGCTGGTTGAGTTAAAACTTTAGCTTGGGGTCAGAAAAAAAGGAGTAGAAGAGCTAGTCTCTCTTTTTCAGCCACTGTAGTTAAGAATGTGAGCAGCCCACGCCAAAACGAGTGCAATATAGCCTACTAGTATGCCCGCTTTCCAAATCAGGGAAATACATTTCTCCCAGAAGGTATCCTGGTTTGTGCAGATGGTGCCACAGAATAGGAAAAGCATTATCGTATATTCAGTGGAATAAAAAAACAACCAGCAACTCATTCTCAACAAGTAGTATGGAACTCAATCAAAGCAGCTCACTAAAATCAAAGGAAGTACCTCTTATGGATGCATTTGAGTGGCATCTACTGGTGTGCTGTTATATTTAACAGTCAAATAATAAATGCAGCTGGAAGCACAGCAGCATTGGTGCCGGTGAAAGTGAAGATAACTCTTTTCCAAGATTTACGTAGTGATATTTGGCATGCAAATATAGGTACTCCAATTTATCTTATTGGCAAACACATCACTTTAATAAGAACAAAGTCTGTGAAATTCTGAGTACATGGAACAATTTGAGCTGGGATATATTTCAGATAATTATTCCCTACCTTGACCTTAAGTGTGCAATTGGATTTATCTGAATGACTCCCTCTAGTTTTATAGCCCCACTGGTAAAGCACAGGTATCTGCCACCAGGCACATGAACACAGGGTCAGGACTTTCAGTTTGTATTTGTGACCATTGTAGACAAAACCAATGTGCAACAAGTTTAGGTACTGTATGCTAGGAAACTTTTCCCCTTTCACTGAAGTGTTCTTTCTGATTCTGACTTCATTTTTCTCCAGGGAAGCCAAGAGAAGAACAAGAACTCATAGGTGTCAATTTCAGCTGGTAGTTTTTTTAGAGCTACTTTTTAATTTGCGCACATTGATCATAAGAAAATTCATACTTTCTCCTCATGGTATTATCCTAAGTTTGCAGCTGCACCTGAAATATGCTAACGTGTCTTTTCCATTCAGTTCCTGAACCAAATAAGCAAGCGGTAAGAAGAGCA